CTCTACAGGTAAAGCACTTAATCTTGTAGAGTGGGATGTGATCTTTGGGAGACTGCTGACATGGTGGAGCATCACCTGTGCACACAGCTACTCCCTTGCAGAAGCCGTGCTGTTGAAGTCACAGAACACATGCAAGAAATGGTGACAAACTGGGAAGAGATCACTATTCTTTTAACATTGCTTGGGAAAGTGGAGCCCACTCCAGTCTTGAGAACCAGACAGACATCAAGGAGGCCACAAGGGAGCAATTCACAGGCCACACAGGAAAGGGAGAATGAGGTCTGGGTGAGGAGTTCAGACACAGTTTTATTTGCTCCTTGACTGAAGTGACAACACCTGTGGCCCTGTGCAGGACCAGCAACAAGTGTGGGTCAGTAACACCTGCTCTGACTGCTGCACCAATCAGGCCCTTGTCACCGTGTGGAGATGTCACCATGGCACCCACATGCCATTGTAATGACATCTGAGCATCTCCCAGAGAAAACCTCAACAGCTCCATGGGATTTTGCTTGCCAACTAGCAGGGTGAAGAGCAGCTTCTCACAGAGATGGCTGCGAGTGCAAACTTGGTCAGGCTTAGACAGAAGATATTGAAAGACAACTGTCTACAGCAGGAACCTCTTCTGTTTGGGATCTGGAGGAGCTGTCTGAGTCCTTTGGCTGCCTTTCTCCTGGTGCTCCACCAGGAGCTTGGAATGCTGCCAGGGCACCAACAGAAGAAAAAAAGTACTTGCAGCATTTTACTGATGAGCAGGATACAAAAGAGGTGTGTTCACCTCATGCCTCTTCTGAGGAGAGCACTGGCACTGTCAGTATTTTCACAGCCCTCAGCTTTACAGAGAAACACTGGGCACTGATTGGAAGTGACCAGTTTGAGAGCACCTGGTGGGGTCACAGTGGGAACTGCGTTGTAATTGATGAAGAACTGTTTCAGGTGGAAGCACTGGGAAGGAAAGGGCCTTTCAGAGTTTGTGGGGCAGAGAGCATGAAAGGCTTCATTCCTCAGATTAACATGCATGGATTCACCCCACCCTGCTGCTCATAGGAAGGTACATCAGTTGCTCCACACCAACTCTCACAGCATTCTGGTGGGAGCAGTGGAGGGTCCAATAAAGTAAGCCTTGGTAATAGAAAGGATGGGGATGGCAGTAAATGTTTGTATCCTGATTTCTTTCTCTGCCTCTGCAGATACTTTAGAGGGTAGCACTGCTGAGTAGTAGAAATGTGAATAAAATATATTTGGGTTACATCCAATGAGTCTGAATCTGTGGAATGGAAAGATAAATAAATGAGGATGTGATGAGTCTATTTCTTTCAATGCATTTGCTACATATCTTAGTCAGCCTAAGAACTGACCGATAGACTTTAATACCCATATTTACTTTCAGTGATTAAAAGCCTTAGTTCCTGTGCCTTGCTGTCTTTCAGTCCCAAACTGCTCACAACTAACTCATCTTCTATGCAATTTTAGTTATTCTTCTAGTACAGCCTGTGCTTCAGGAGAGATTACCCACAGCTGCTGAAGCACTGCAAGTGCACAGCTGCCCTGACAAGAAGAGATGTGCTTGCTCCTCTCCTGCAGGAAGAGCTGAATGAGAGTCCTCCAAGGAGCAGCCCAGGTGCCCAGTCTGTGCAAAGAGTGGTTGCTGGACTGGAAAGAGGAGCCTGCTGCCAGCAGATCCTGCAATGGGCACGTGGAGAGTGGCAACTGTTAAGTGCTACTTCTGCTCCTCCACCTTGCAATGCTCTGTTCTCCATGGCACCCACTTTTACACCTGGCCCAGTACAGCAGGAGCTTCCCCAGCACCCATAGGCACCAGAGTGGCTGGTTCTTTAGGCTGCCCTGCTGTGCCTCAGCCAATGCTTTGCCATGGCTGCACTGATACCACCTGACAGGGGGCCCTGGGGAGCCCCACGATGATCCTGCAGCTCTGACAGGGCAGATGGACCATAGCATGGGACCCACAGCAGACAGTGGGGACAGCAGCACCTAGTTACTAGTTCATAAGCTGATAGTTCATAGGCAGATATTTCTGGAAATAAAATGTTTGAATAATAAACTTTTTCATTTGCATGTCCTTTTTTTAAAAAAAAAAAAAATAATATTTATTTAACAGAGAAATCTCAGATTGAATTTGTATTTCACCTCTCAAAAGGCAGTAGAAACAATGGTTCTAGCATCAATGTACAGGTTTTCTCTGACAATCAAGCTCTGGATTCTTAGCTGTAGAGGGTAACAGACTGGTTGATGTTTCCATGCTGCATGCACTGAGAACGCTCATCCTAATGATGTCTTCTGAGAGAAAATTAGGAGAGACTAATTAAATAACTGCATTTTAATTATTGAAGACTCAGAGAATGTCACCTTCTTAGTAGGATGACTGCTCACAAAGTATTTGTCCACATTGTCAGGCAGTAATAACCCAACTTAATTTCTGAGCTAATGTTTGCCAAGTTTGTGAGAAACCATGTGCCTTGGAGAGGTCATGCCTTAAAAAAATCAGACAGTGGTGTTATGAAAAGATAACTATTTAGCCTTTCTTGTTTTAGAAAAGTTATAATGGATATCACTTTGAGAAGCGTTTTAAATAGTAAAATCCTATTTCTTTAACCCCCTAAACACCATTACATTGAATCTTCTATCGTCTATCTTGGTTAAAATCAAGCAAGGATAATAACAACAATGCATATCAACAAGCTCAGAAATATTTTTAGAACAAATTAGTAGTGTTTGGGGTTAGACAATTTAAGTCCAGCTTGGCACTCCACCTTGAATGATGTAGTGCTGGAAAGTGATCAGACCCTACAGGAGAACAGCCACAGGGCTGAAAACTGCAAAATATTCAGGAAGCATTTCAACATTTAACTATTATGTTTCTTATCTGAAAAAAAAAAAAAAAAAAAAACCAGTACTTGTGTATAAGTCCATAAGTCCTGCAATAATGAGGCAGCTTAGAACATGTAAAACATACGGTAAAAAAATGAAAAAAAATTAAGAGTTGATGAATCAATAGAGATTTGTCTGAAGGTCATGCTGGATGTTACAGAGAACTGAAAGTCATCCTGTGAGTTACTGATTAGCAGTCTAACCACTCGATCTCTTCTTAGCCTGTGTAATAAACTATTAAGGCCCCTGATTTCATGCTCATGACTATGAAAAGTCATCTGCATTGACTCAGAAGTGTCTCCTCCAAGGCTATGAAAAGATTACATACGTCGCTTTATAAAATGCAAACTCTTCTGTAGGACAAGATTGGAATTTCCTTATTCATAAGCTGCTCTGTGATGCAGATACACTGGAAAGGAAAAGAGAGAGTTAAGTGGGGTTGCATCCCACACACCTTGATTGCAACAGACGGGGCAGAATTGGTTCCCTCTACTGGCTTTAAGTTGCACCATAGAAGGTACAGGTCAGATATTAGGAAAAATTTCTTCTCAGCAAGAGTGGTAATGCAGTGGCACAGGCTGCCTAGGGAGGTGGTGCAGTCACCATCGCTGGAGGTGTTCAGGAGCCGTGTGGATGTGGCACTGAGGGATGTGGACCTTGGGCATGGTGGGGGTGGGCTGATGGTTGGACTGGGTGATCTCAGAGGTCTTTTTCAACCTTAGTGATTTCATGATTCTATGATAAGTCCTCTAATGACTTCTAGCAAAAGTTCACACAGACTTCTGAAGTTGATTCATGGAGCGCTTTATTTTTATTTTCCATTACCACTCCTTATTGTAATGTCATGATAAGTTAAAACCAATTACATTTTAAGAATTATAGGGTGGTAAAACTAAACCAAATATGTCCTTTTGAGGATGCTTAAGCATCATATCTTAAGTGATTTCATTAACCTGTATATGGTCTACTTATGGTGCAGAGATGAAGCAACTCTGTCCCTGCTGGCTTACAGGCTTATTGACTGTGTGGCCTAAATTCAGCAATATTATTTCCCTTCTTTGACAAGGAGTGTGTTTTCTCCTGGAGAAACTATCTGTTCACTGCTTGCACGGGAGTACTATTCTTTAAGTTAAGAACTGGCTGGCTGGCTGGGCCCAAAAACTTGTTGTGAATGGAGTTAAGTCCATTTGGCAGTTGCCACAGATGGTGTTCTCCAGGGCTCGGTATCAGGGCCAGTTTTGTTTAACATCTTTATCAGTGATACTGGTGAGGGGATGAAGTGCACCCTCTGTAAGTTTGGGTAGGAGTGTTGATCTGCTTCCTAGGCTCTGCAGAGGAATTTGGATGGGTTGGATTGATGGGCCATGTCCAATTGTATAGTTAAATGCCAAGTCTGACACCTGTGTCATAACAACTCCATGCAATGGGGTTGACAGCAGAAAAGGACCTGGGAATGCTCATCAGCAGCCAGATGAACATGAGCCAGCAGCATGCCCAGATGGCCAAGAAAGCCAATGGCAGAAATAGCATGGGCAGTGGGACTAAGGAAGTACTGAGCAATGGCGAGACTGCACCTCGAGTGCTGTGCTTAGTTTTGTGCCGTTCTCTACAAAAAGGGTGCTGAGTTGTTCAGCTGTGTGCAGAGAAGATAAATGAAGATGGTGCAGAAAACCAGAGTTATGAGGAACAGCTGAGGGAACTGGAGCTGTTTTGTCTGGAGATGAAAAGGCTGAAGGGAGACTTCATAGTTCTCCACAGCCACCTGAAAGGAGGTTGCAGCAAGGACGGTGTCGTTGACACGGACAAGCGAGGAAATGGCCTCAAGTTGCACAAGGGAAGGTTTAGACTGGATATCAGGGAAAATTTCTTCATGGGAACAACATGGGAACAGGCTGCTCGAGGAAGCAGTAGAGTCCCCATCCCTGCAGGTGTGGGCATAGCGCTTAGAGACGTGGTGTGACAGCGCACCATGTCGGTTACGTAGCCGGTTGGACTCGATGATCTTAAAGATCGTTTCCATTCCGAGGCCGCAGCCCGAGCGCCGCCCCTCACCGCGCTGAGGAGAAGCGGGAGCGCGCGCTCGAGCGACCCGGCAGCGACTGGCTGTGCCTGCGGCTCCGCCTCGCTCACCGCGCATGCGCGCTGCCAATCCCAGCATCCTGAGGCGCGGCGCGAGCGGAGCGGAGCCATGGCGCTGCACGTCCCTAAGGCCCCGGGCTTCGCCCAGATGCTCAAAGAGGGAGCGAAGGTGAGCGGCGCCGGGCAGCGCGCGCGCCTCCCGGACTCCTTCCTCCCTCCCCCCTCTCGCTGCGAGCGGGCTGCGGGGCGTTTCGGCGTGGCGGGCGGGGAAGGTTCTGGAAGGCCCGGCGGCTCCACGCGGCCCGGCGCGGGCCTGGGCTCCCGGCTGCTCCTCTCGGAATGTGGGCGCCGGGAGGGCGGCCTGGCCCTGTGTGGCTGCGTGCTGGGAGCGGCCTTCTAGAAGGCTCTGCTGTCGGAGATCGAGACAGTGCTACTGAAAGATGGGATAGAAAGCAAGCAGCTTGTTTTTCTTGTAGGTGGGAAAAAGGAGGGGAGCTTTGCTTGCTGCTACTGAATAGAGTTGATAGCGAAGCTAAGCAGCTCAACTCCTTTCTTCCTTTTTTTCTTTTCTTTTCTTTTTTTTTTTTTCGGAGATTTCTTTGGAATGTCTTCTTTCAAGGGTGGAGGAGAGCAGAGTGCCGTAGATGCTGGTGCTCTAAAAGAAATGGCTCCCCAGCCATAGGGAGAGCTGTGTTCCTCCGAATGAGGAGGATGCGTTCTGAGGTGCTTGCTTTGCATTTAAAGAGTAATTATTAGGGAGCTGCATGCTTATAGTGGCTTTCCAGTACCTGAAGAGAGCCTACAAGAAAGCTGGGAAGGGGTTTTTGTAAGAGCTTGTAGCGACAGGATGAGGGGAAATGGCTTTAAACTGGAAGAGGGTACATTGAGACTAGATGTTAGGAAGAAATTCTTTACTTTGAGGGTGGTGAGACACTGGAACAGGTTGCCCACTGAGGTTGTGGATGCCCCTCCCTGGAGGCATCCAAGGCCAGGCTGGATGAGGCTTTGAGCAACCTGATCTAGAGTGAGGTGTCCCTGCCTATAGCAGGGCATTGGAACGAGGTGATCTTAAAGGTCCCTCCCAACCAATGACTCTCTCTTCTCCTGGGGGGCATAGGCTGTGACTTACCTGGGTTACAAGTAAGACACTTTCAGGAGATCCCTTCATCCAAACTGAAGCCAGGCTGACCAGCTTCTCAAACACCAATATTTTCTGAATCATAAAGTCATTTAGACTGGAAAAAACATTAAAGATCATCTAGACCAACTGTGAACCTGACTTGAGTCTCATGACTAAACCATATCAATTGGTGCATGGGCATATACACTCCAATGTGTTAAATTAAGTCACTGAATTAAATAAATTTGCAGACTGTCTACTCTTAAATTTTTAAGCCATTCATTTGAAGGTAAAACTGAGTTAAATGATCTTGTGATGTACAGAGTTGTGGGTAAAGAAGTGAAACCCTTTGTCACGTGCCCCTGGTCCTCCCTTTTTTTCTCCAAGCTGTTCTCGGTTATTTTCTATCTCCATTTGGTATGCCATTAATATTTTAGTAGCCTTTTGGCATATAAAGAGGGGCTATAAGAAAAGAGGAGACAGGGGAAATGGTTTTGAACTAAAATAGGAGAGATTTAGATTGGATGTAATGAAGAAGGTTTTTTTACTGTAAGGGTGGTGAAGCACTGGAACAGGTTGCCCAGAGAGGTGATGGATACTCTGTCCCTGGAAACATTTTAAGTCAGGCTGGATGGGGCTCTGAGCACCTGATGTACCTGTGCGTGTCCCTGCTCAGTGCAGGGGAGTTGGGTAAGGTAGCCTTTAAAGTTTCCTTCCAACTCAAATGATTCTATGATTTTTTTTAAGAGGAGTTCAAATATAAAACTATTAAAAAATCATGTCACGCTGAGTTGAGTAGGAGCATGTGCAATTTCTTGTCTCATTGTCTTTGGGTAAAGTTTAGTTTTTGTTTAAACTTCTTGTGAAGTATCAACTCTATTAGAAAGTTTTGTGAACTTGCTAGATTATCACTGCTTCTTTGAGAAGTGACTAGTTGTGAGCAGTTTATTTCATTTGTTTTTAGCATTACTCAGGACTAGAGGAAGCTGTCTACAGGAACATCCAGGCATGCAAAGAACTTGCTCAAACCACCCGTACAGCTTATGGACCCAATGGTAAGTAAATCCCGAAGCTGCCGTAGTTATTTTGAGCAAAATTGTGTGTCTGAAGGCTAATCTTGCCTTGACAAAGAGGCAGTTAATTGTTTCTTGAGAAAACTCATTGGACTTGCTGTAGAACTCCAGATATAGTTGTTGTGTCTGGTTAGTTCTTAAGTTACACAGTATGTACCTGCTTTCGCTGGGGTTTTTGTGCCTGTTGTGCTGCATTTACTTTGTCCTCTTTTGCTGTCTGATTGCTATTTGGAAGACCTACAGAACTTAGAGGAAAGGTGGTAACTTGGTAGTCATGATTAACGTAACCTTACAATATCCTGACAGATACACCACAACAGCAGTGTTCTTCAGTCTTAATTAAATTATGCACCAATATTTCTGAAAAGAAAACTGCTTGTTCAGAAATAATGAGTTCTGATAATGTAATGCATTCCCAAGTGTTATAGGGCTCATGTTTTAATGTGCCAGATGAACTGGAAAGGGACCGAAACTGTATTTCTGTACAATGCAACAATTGCCTAATGAATACTTTTTTTTTTTTTTTTTTTTCCCCCCATTAGGAATGAACAAAATGGTTATCAATCACCTGGAGAAGCTTTTTGTTACAAATGATGCTGCTACTATCTTGAGAGAGTTGGAGGTGAGTTCTCTTAGATTGGGTCAGTTGGAGGAGACCTTCAGAGATGAGAGTCCAACTGCTTGACTGCTTCAGGACTAAGCAAAAATTAGATCATGTTGTTGTGGACATTATCCAAATGCATCTTGAACACCAAAAGCCGTGGGGCATCGACCACCTGTGCAGGAAGCCTATTGCATTGTGTGACCCTCATGGTAAATTTCCTCCTGATGTTCAGTCTGAACTTCTTCAGTACAGCTTTGTGTCAGTGGTTGTAACCCTGTGTTCCTGTTAGCATGGGTCACTGGTTCTAAACTCTGATAGGAATTTTATGTCACCCTCCCAGATTATGTATGCTATTTTGTGTTTATTTGTCATTGGATTTGAGCAAAGTAAATGGTCTATACCCAGCATGAGGTAAACTCTTCCATAAAACAGCATCAAACAGTTGCAGAAGATGCTTAGTAGATGACTATTCTTTTCCTCCCAAACCATTGTAGATTTAGACAAGAGTATGTTTAGACAATACAGTGTTTGGAGCACTCTGAATGAAATAGCCACTGTATTAATCTCATGGTGTTGGTGGTTGCCATCTTCTTCTGTTTGCTTAGAACACGATAATTGGATGTATGAAGCTGGAGATACAACAGCACCCACTTCTAAGTAAAGTAAAAGAAAAAAATTGTGGAAAGACTGACATACAACTTTTTTCTTTTGCTGTCAAATGCGTGATATAAATGATACTTTACTGAGTTCTACTCTTAGATAGAAATGAATAATTAGCAAGAAACTTTGTCAACTGTAGAATAGTTTCTTAATACCAGTATAGTTCCTGGTGTTAGTGACAATGATGTGACCTTCCTTTAAAGGTCCAGCATCCTGCTGCAAAAATGCTTGTGATGGCTTCCCACATGCAAGAACAAGAAGTTGGAGATGGAACTAACTTTGTCCTTGTTTTTGCTGGAGTCCTTCTGGAGTTAGCAGAAGACCTTCTGAGGATGGGATTATCAGTCTCAGAGGCAAGTTACATTGTTAATGCAGTTCATGCATCCTGAATTCAGATTGCAGCTGGTCAGTGTTCTCAAGTCATAGTGCTATGAATAGCATACTTCATCTGAATCAACTTTTAGTTAGAAGTGTATTGATTGCTGCTTGTGATTCCTTGTTTCCCTGGTAAGCTTTTTCATCTGTATGTTTTAGTGGACTTCTAAAAGGAAACATAGGCAATATGAATGCATAATGAGGTAAAGTAGTAAATATTTGTTGTTGTTGCACAGGTGATTGAAGGATATGAAAAAGCGTGCAAGAAAGCTCTAGAAATTCTTCCAGATCTGGTGTGCTGTTCTGCAAAGAACCTTAGAGATGTTGATGAGGTGGCATCTTTGTTGCATACTTCAGTAATGAGCAAACAATATGGCAATGAAAGTTTTCTGTCAAAGCTTATTGCTCAGGCCTGTGGTAAGTGCATAACAACATATCTGTACGTGCATCTGAAAAATGGAGTGCATTTCCTTGTGGTTCTTCATGGCCTGTTTAGTTTATTAGGTTAAGTTAATGAAATACAGTTGCTTCTGAAATTAGTATAAGGTTTCTCATGTTGAACTCTTCATTGACATGGTGGCTCAGAAAAGCCCTGTACTTTCTACTGAAGTTAGAAATTGCTTACTACTTCTGCCTTTCTATCCATCCTTTGTAGTCTTTTTTGACATTAAGGGGATACATTATACTTCAGATAAGCTCTCAGCCACAGAACAATGAAAGCAAGACTGTAGTTGTATTGAGCTGTTGGTTTCTCCTTTTAGACTTCAAAGTAAAACATGTAGTTAAAGTGCTTTCTAAAAATACCCTGGGTCAGGCTTCACTCAAACATAAGTTTCTTAATGGATATTTTTGGTTAAAGTAATGTTGCTTTCTGATTATTGCTACATTCTAAAAAGAATTTAAAGCAGGAAATGGAACTGCCTTAAATTAATTGGGCAGTTAAAACCATCAAATTCTAGTATTTCAGGGAAAGCTTTAGATATCGTAATTTTATTTTATTCATTAAACAACACATTTTTTCTCCTTTCAAACAGTTTCTATTCTGACTGATTCTGGTCATTTCAATGTTGATAACATCAGAGTGTGCAAGATTGTGGTAAGTTGAATATAGATATACTGTAAGCTAAGAAGTTTAAGGGAAGAACATAATTTTTAGACCTTTCAACTTCTGAAAGTGCCTCTACTGTTGTAATCTCTGTGGTGCTGTGGCATGCATGATAAGTTTTGGAAATTGGTCTCCATGTTCCTTGTTTACTGCCCACTAGCTAATTTCAGAAATAGAAATTGTTAAATTGGAAAGCGTAGTGCAACTTTCTGACAGTAAATGAAATGATGAGTGATGTGACTTTCCTTCTGTTCCATCTCTTTTCTACCAGGGTGCTGGTGTCTCTGCTTCATCAGTGCTCCATGGCATGGTTTTTAAAAAGGAAACTGAAGGAGATGTTACTTCTGTCAAAGATGCAAAAATAGCTGTGTATTCCTGCCCTTTTGATGGTATGATAACTGAAACTAAGGTATGTAGAAGCTCAAAATAAATTATGTATCTACATATACTTATTTGTGGCTCTTAGCCTCTTATTTTTAGACTTATCTATAAATATTTTTGACACTTGGTGATTAAGATATATTTGTTAAGACTGAGTTCATTAGTCTAAAAAAGTTCATAGAAAACTTCTGAACCTAATTTTGCTATGTAGGGTTTTTGATGGTGTGGGTGGGTCTTGTGTGGTTTTTTTTTTTAATTATTATTATTTTAACCCATTTTGCCTGGGAAGTGTCAGTGTGACTCAGTAGGCAGATTTGAGGTTTATGGATTGGTTGGGAGATAGTGATTTATCTAAAACTTAGGGTTTTTATTTGACACTGAAATGATGTATTTGTTTTACTAGGGCACTGTACTTATAAAGAATGCTGAAGAGCTGATGAATTTCAGCAAGGGAGAAGAAAACCTAATGGATTCACAAGTCAAAGCTATTGCTGATAGTGGTGCAAATGTAGTTGTAACAGGTGGCAAAGTGGCAGACATGGCACTTCATTATGCCAACAAATACAATCTTATGGTAGTCAGGTAAGTGCTAGAAGACATAAGATATTTGCTTCACCAGATTTATGAAATGCACTTGGCATATAGTCTCTTGCCTCAGATTACTTACAATGCAGAGTACTGCAGGCAGTTTTCCTAGTAGGTAAAAACCTGAGATGCAGGCAGGTGGTTTCCTAGCTTATGTTTCTTGACAGTATTTCACCTCTGTGTAGTAGCTAACTGGGTACTAATTAGTGTAGGTATGGTACTGTTACTCTGTCTTAAGGTCTTTTACAAATCAACTGATTTTTTTTATTTAGAAAACAGATGTGGCCACAAATGTCTGTTATTACCATGAGGGTTCTTCCTGGTCAGTCGTCATGTGAAACCTTAGCAATGACAAAATGCATCTCTGTGCATCACTGTTATGTTGATGAATGGAAGAACTAATTCTTAATATTTCCAAGCCACTTCTTTGGATCTTAGATCTGCTTAAAATAAATTCTGCAAAACATAAAGACAAATCACTTGATAGCACCTTTTATGTCATATGTAGATAAGTTGATGAAAACTAACTTCAGTAATGGTGTCTAAAAATTCTGAACTTCTGGAAATGGAGCATTATACTGCCATTTCCTGCATGACGGGGACTATTACAGAGGGATTGTAAAAATCAATTGAAGTATGCAGTAGATTAGTAATTTCCATGTACTTGGATTATTTGTTTTCAAACTACTAAAAAAGTCATTATATAGAATCTCTTTTACTTGATGCGGTGAATTTTGATGAATGTCATTGTTGACAAAATGCTGTCAGGTTAACGAGAATACTTGCTCTGTGTTAGCATTTGTTCTGGAAGGTTGTAAATAACAAGACTGCTTTTGTTTTTGAAAGGTTGAACTCAAAATGGGATCTGAGAAGACTGTGCAAAACTGTTGGTGCAACAGCCCTACCCAGACTGGTATGGAATTTTCAAATGAGGAGCAGATAGGAGAGTTGAGTACAATCATCTCCTGACCTTTGTTTTTCTTTCCAGACTCCCCCTACTCTAGAAGAAATGGGTCACTGCAACAGTGTGTATTTATCAGAGGTTGGAGATACGCAAGTTGTTGTGTTTAAGCACGGTATGTAAGTTCTATAGAAATTCTAATGCTGCTGTTCTACAAGGATGGTACTCATGTGTGTTTACATCTAAAAACTTAGTTCAGTAATGAGAATCTCTCTCAACAGAAAAGGAGGATGGTGCTATTTCTACTATACTCATTCGTGGATCTACAGACAATCTGATGGATGATATCGAGAGAGCAGTGGATGATGGCGTAAATACTTTCAAAGTGCTCACAAGGGTAAATACCCAGAATGTTTCTGTTATCAAAACTGACTATGGATCACTTGAGGCATGGTACCTGTTTGCTTTGGGCTCGTTTGTCACGAAGGCATTAACTGCCCCTTTCATTGTCAATTCAGGAGCATTTTTGATAGGTTGAAAATGCGGTGTAGAGAAGACTGCTGCCACTGTTCTCATGAATATGATGTATTTAAAAGCACTGTTTGTATTGAATTCATTTTTTGAGTCCTTGAAGATGCTCTCTGACCTCTTTAAGTGTACCCCTTGTAATGTTCCTTGAAAACCAGAGAGGACAAAAGCCAGATGGCTTTTTTTGTCTCTGAAAAGTGGAAGGTTGCAAAGTAATTTTCTCATTCATGGGTCACAAGATAAACTTTCCCCACATACCACAGGTACATTTCATAACTTAGTTCATTAGTGCTTTTTTTGTGATCAGCTTTTGTGGAGTAAATTTCCTTTTGAAGGAGAAAGGAAACGTTTGAAAATGTATTTGGAAGGTGGCATGCAAAAAGAGTAAAAATCTAGACGCTTATGCATTCATGCATATGGATACTGAGTATGGGAACACCCATAAACTGTACACTTATGGCTGTCTGTAGTTATGGCTTATGTTGATAAGTTTTCTGTTTAGAAGATGGGGAATTCTTGAGTGAATGCTGGTTTGCCAGAGGATTTATTAAATTATTGGTTTTTTTTTTTCCTTCAAACAAAAAACAAAATCGTTGTGATACCTCTTGATGTATTGATGAATATAGTTTTAGAGGATTTGTTTTAAGCTTATAGTTTCCCAAATACTTAATAGAAAAGGTGGGAAAAAAAAAAACAACGAAGCACAGGAATTCAACCCTCAGCTTATGAGTAATAGAAATAACTTCTATAAAGAGAACAAAAAAACTGCATTATTATTTTTCTTGAAGGATATTTAGAAGGAATGATTAAATCCTGGTAAATGTCTCTTGATACAAGTGTTCTAAAAAATAAAATTCTAAAAGCTAAGAAATGAATGTGATGCTTTCTGTTTTGGTATGGTCTGTTCACAGGACAAACGTCTTGTTCCTGGAGGTGGTGCAACAGAGATTGAATTAGCCAAGCAAATCACATCTTATGGAGAGGTACAGCTGTTCTTTTGTTAGTTTAATTTTTTTTCTTTGTTATATACATACATGCTATTAAACAAAAAATACATATATAAATGTACCTACATGTAAATCAGTAGAAAAATGTGAAGGAAGTACCTCCCTTACATTACTGTTTAAAATGCCTGCATGGTGTTCACTTTTAGACTTGTCCTGGGCTTGACCAGTACGCCATCAAGAAGTTTGCTGAAGCATTTGAAGCCATTCCTCGAGCATTGGCAGAAAATTCTGGAGTAAAGGCAAATGAAGTCATATCCAAACTTTATGCTGTGCATCAGGAAGGCAACAAAAATGTTGGATTTGATATTGAGGTAAGTAGTTTCTCACATTACTTACTGCTCAGCAATACAAGGTTATATTTAAAAATACCTCCATCAGTAGTACTGAATATTTATAGATGAATTGAAATCTTTGAAGCTTGGTGTTGCACATTCTACTACTAATGGATTTTTTTATTCATCAGGCTATTAAACTGGTAGCATAGTAACCACCTGTAGGAGGTAAAGCGAGATACTAAACTAACATAACAGATACAATAAATCTTCAGTGATTACTTACTTTGTCTTCCTGGAATGGATTAGAAATGAAGATTTTCTGAAGAGAGAAGATAAGAAAATTGTAACCTTGAAAACTTAGTAACTTACTAGGTTGAAGCCTGTAAAAACTTAAAAGATTTTCCTCTTATTTGAAAGGCTGAAGCTGCTGCTGTGAAGGATATGTTAGAAGCTGGCATATTAGACACATACCTGGGAAAATCCTGGGGTATCAAGCTGGCCACAAACGCAGCAGTAACTGTCCTACGAGTCGATCAGGTAAGCTTAAAAATACTTGGGGTGCTAAACTGAAACCTCTGCTATAACTCAGCGTTCAGAAAACTAGTACAAAGTGTGAGAGTGTTCTGGGATTATAAGGCATATAAATCTGATGTTGGAAAACTTGGTTTGTTTAAACTTAACTTTAAAAAAAATGAGGAATTGGTTTCTTCAGGAGCTTATATTTTGGAATATGAGCGGAGATGTTTCAGCTACCAACTATTGCTGTTTCATGTTCCTTTAACATTTGGCAACTGATACTTGGGAACCTTCTATAGGAGGGAGCCTTTTATAGGAACAAGGATTATCACAAGAAACCTTTTCCCATATACTTTTCTTACATTAAAATCTCACTTCAGGAAAATGTTTATAATCTTAATGGTTAAAAAAAAAATGTTTATCTCTTGTGTGGAATTCTAGCAAAAATGTATTTGCATGTAAAATTTCTGTAGATTATTATGGCAAAAACAGCAGGCGGTCCAAAAGTCCCTAAGCAACAAGGACATTGGGATAAGGATGACTGGAGAGATGAGCCTGAAAAGTAGTATCAGTAAGCTCTGTCAGAGAAGTATCAGTGTGTTAAAGCATGTGTGAACATACTGACAATCACATGACAGATCTGCTTATTTCTTGAAGGCATGTAACATTGCTGTCTTATGTGTGCTGATTTCTTATTTCCATCTCATTTGTGCCATAGTAAACGAGTCTTACTCTACAAACTAAACTTTCATTGAAGAGATGACGAGTATCATTCTAGTTTTACCTGCCACTGCAACAAGTGCAGAAAATAAGCCTCTAACAAAGTATTGCTAGTGAGACTTGAGCTTTAAAAGGTGTATCCAGGCTGGAGTTCAAAACAATAGCTCTGATAATTTTGCTTTGTGCTGTGTGCAACCTGTAAAGAAGTCACCACTCATTTTTTATTAGACTAACTTATTTTGCATGCAAAAGTAAGGTAAAACCACTTTGTATGTGAGGGCTCAGCTTCTGCCATTTTCAAGAAAAAAATACGTGTTTCAATAAAATGGATAATAGTGATTGTAATTTAAGTTCAGAGCAGGGAAACTGCATAACCTAAGAAATGTTTTCAGTCAGCATCGTAAGGCTATAAATTAGACTGAGTCTAATCTTTTTTTTCTTTTTCTACTTTCTCATCATTGAAGATCATAATGGCAAAACCAGCTGGTGGTCCTAAACCTCCATCAGGAAAAAAAGACTGGGATGAAGACCAAAATGATTGAGCAGTTTAACTGTACTACTTAGTTACATGATTACGTGAGTTTTGTAATCTTCCATTTGGGACCTGTCATGATGTTTTGGTCTCTTGCCTTTAAGTTATGAACTGTATCCAGTAGAGTGCAGAACTTTGAAGTGTTCATTCAATAAACTTACTACTACTAAACTGTTTGCTGTGATTTTATTTGGAATTATCATAATACAGTTCTTCCCTGTTGGGCCCAGCTGTGTCATGCAGGGGGCAGCCCTAGCCTTGCCTCCCCCAGGAGCTGAGCCCTTTGCCTCTGCTTGGGCAGCTGAGCTTGGTACAAGAGCTGAATAAGACTGGCTATAAGCCTGCTGTAAGGAACACAACTGAAAGCACAGTCCATAACCTTTGCACCTCATTGCAGTCCTTGCCCCTCTGTGTAAAAAGTTAACTGAGTTTTGAAATAATACAGCGGTTATGCTGTAGTCTGTACCCATGCTTTGTGTTGATACATGCATCTCTTTCATCCTCACACATTCAGAGGCTCTACGTGCTGAAAATGTCAGCCAGACAGAGGTGAAATGTATCTCATTCTAATAGCTTTACAAATAAATGAAGAGAAGGTTAGCTGGTGAGAAGTATCAAGCACACACACCCAGACCACTGGAAATTTTTCACATAGACATAAAATTTGAAGTCCTGTGCTAATTCTCCTTGGGGAAAGTAAATAATTTGTGTGCCTTAAAGTCCCTTGAAATTCAAACCACTTCAATAATTATTTTTTTTATTACTCTTGTCTGTACTTCTTCACAGCCAGAAGGGAGGGGACAGCTAAATCAAGTCTGGAACTACTGCATGCCTAAATAAGGTTGCCATGCAGCAGCTATACCAGAGCTTGCCTTACAGATGGTAGCTGGCATGGCTGAAAAACTCAGCAAGTTTTTGGAAGGATTGGCATACTGATTTCATCAGCTGCACAAGTGCTACTGCTGATGACTTCAAGGGTAATGAACACGAGAGCACTCATTTTCTTAGGAAGGGTGTTGTGAAAAATGCACTGAATGTAAACAGCTGCTACTCTAGCACAAGGAGCCAGGACTTTATGTAAACCAGCATGAAGCCAAGCCTGGGGAGCAGGACAAGCTTTCTTAATCCTCCAGAACAAAAATGCTTAACTGAAGTGCCCGTACTGAGAGCTGTGATCACAGCCTTGTCAATGTGCTGCAGAAAGGTGCTTGTACCAAAGACTTCCTAGAGACTTAGCAAACTGAGGGCTCTACTGGAAATAAACCAATAACACAAAGACAGCCAATACAGAATCTGTTGGCTCTAACACCTAGAAAGTTCTGGAACACATACAGAGGTTAACGGGTAACTGTAGTTCAACATTATAGCTGGTCTCTGTGAAATAAATGAAAGAGCAGCAGATGTTTGTTTGTATCATAAGAATACTCAATAGAAACGTCAGGTTCTGATTTTGAAAAAAAAAAAGTTCTTTATTTATAAGTAGTGAAAACACTGGAAAAAGTATAAGTTAACCATGTGTCAGTGTGTCTAAGAAGCACAAAGTATATTCTTGCAATTGCATACAGTAGCTCTAACATGTTAATATGATTTGCTTGTTCCTGCCTTCTTTTAGGGTGCTTAAGGTGGTTATAGACCAAGAAGACATCTGGGACAAGTTACAGAAGTCGCTCGTAGAACAGAAGATAGGCTTGTGAGCTCAGCACTTTTGACGTAGACACAGCTTGTACATGGGTATCACTGATGTGGAACCACTGTCCTTTTATTGGTTCAGTTTCTAAAGCTACAAAAGTAAGAATTACAGGGCAAAAGTTATGAGCGAAGGATTAAAGCACTCAGTCCTGTTACTGTTCGGCAGTAAAAAGTAATTTGTAAAATACAGTTAATTATTTACCTTGAGGAGGTTGTCCTTGAAGGACAAGATCAGAAAGATGGTTGTTCATACTTCTCATTTTAGCATAAGCAGTGTAGTGCCCAGACCTCATTGTTCCACTGTGTTCAACAACTCCATAGAGAGAGTATAATACTTTCGTATTCCCTTCAGCCACGTTCTAAAAAAGTGGAAGTTCAAGCATGTCAGTGTGGTACTGGCTTTTGAACTAGGCTAGAATATAATCTCTTCGCTTTGATTTGTCTGCCAATGAAATGGAAGGTGGTAGTACACTCAAATTAAGATAGCTTTGAAATGCCACTTGCACTTGTCACAAAAAAAATAACCTGATAAGCATTCAACACAGATTTTGCTAAGCAGCAGAATTGTGAAAGCATATTAAAACATGGGAGAATGAAAATGTTATTTCACTACTTACTTTACATTTAACTGTACAGAAAGGAGCCAAGTCTATCACTTCTGGAAACTTGATATGCCTGTTAACCTTCCGTAGGTTAAATCCAGCCTTAAACAGACAAAAAGTAGAAGGAAAATCCATATTTTAAGTGTAGCATATTAAAACTATGCTTAATTACTAAACACTTGAGGTTAATTTTTTTTAGCAATACAAATTAAATTTTACATTCGTCAAGACCGTAAGGAAGCAAAATCATCTCTATTTTTCTCCCATGCCCAGAGTGTTCTGGCATTACCTCTTTGCCCCTACAGGCTGCACAAGTTAAGATGGCTCTTCAGCTCACTCTTATGGTAACTTAACGGTAGCAGGAGAATGAATCAACTCAATGTACACTCCTCTAACTATGAAGACATCTCTTTCTTCTAGATACTGCAGTATGCCTGCAGATCTAATTTTAAGTTGTCAAAACTGATGGAAATTCTACTCCCACCTTATTCAAATACTCTTCCAGTATCAAACTGGAAAAACAAGGGAAAAGATTATAAAAGTTATATCCTGAATTGTATAATCACCTTTAAGAATATCCTATACATTTGCATTTTCTCTGTGGAATTGCTTTTCATCTACATACAAAGTCACCTCCTTTATTTTATTTTTCAGTCTTGAAGTATTTTGACCAAAATTTATATGATTTTAAATTGAAAAGAGACAACACTGTCTTCTATCCTCATCTATTCCCTCTTTTTTTTTTTCCTTTCAAATTTAAAGCCCTACACGTAAAGCTTTTCTAAGCCTATTCATTAAATTCTTTTAGTGAGGCATCCTGTTCTATCTGTACAGAAACGTAAGAGTTCATCAGCTGCTGCAGTAGCAGGAAACAGCATTAACATGCTGCTTACTGCAGTTTGTGCTAACAATAGTGAAGGAAAAAATTATTAAGCTAATAAGCTCACAACAAGAAATTGCTTAGACTCCTACTAGAATGTTTTGCTTTTTTTTTTTTTTTTTCCCCTCTGACAAAACACACCCACCTCACTACCCCTCGAGAAACAAAAAAAGCCCAATGAAACAAAAAACAACCACAACCTTGCATATATCTGCCTCCCAAACACTGGAAGGAAGAACAACAACAGAAAAAAACCCACAAAACAAGATTAGAGATAAATGGAAATATGCTACCATCAGATTTAAGTTAAGCTAGTACAATAGCACAAAATCACAGAATGGCTTGGGTTGGAAGGGACCTCAAGGATCATGAAGCTCCAACCCCCGTACAGTAGGCAGGGCCACCAATCTAATCTAATACTAGACCAGGCTGCCCAAAGCCCCATCCAACCTGGTCTTGAACACCTCCAGGGTGTATATATACATATCAATATATGTACATATCATTTTAAAAATGCACATTTTTGAAATAACTGCTGTTCATTACCTGTTGAAATCTCTTTAAGTGAAGAGTTAAAATTGGAGGAGCAAGAGAAATCAGCATTTGCTTTTTGGCATTAGTATAAACACGCTTTGCATCTGCAAGAATGAAAAAACATCAGTGATTAACATGTAAATCCAAGCATTCCACTTTAACACAATGAAAAGAGCTGTCATCATGCAGCTCTCAGATCACAGAATTACTAACTGCTCATACTATGTCTGATCAGAGCTAGTACACGCAGGATGAATTCTTGCATGTTCTCTACAACTCTCAATCTGAAACTGCATGCTACTTTCACTGGTCTTTTGAGCAAGCACCAACATGATCTCCCTATGACTGTTGCAGAAATTCCACATTTGAGAGAAGAAAGAATAACCCCACTTAATTCATCCACATTATGAAGTTCTAGATTGAAATGAACCTCCTGAATTAAACCACTCCTCCTTAACTGCTCATCTGTTCCAGTCCTCCAGTATTCTGTACCCGAGCTTGTGAGCATACTACTTTACCTGATGAATAACTTGTATCAGTCTACACAGACAAGGTTCTCACAACCTACACATTAAATACTATTCTACAGATCCAAGTCAGGTCTGAAGTTACACAAGAGGTTACACTCTTTTAAGAACACCCCCCTTCAACCACCCAAGCAGCAATCAGGACGTTTGTTCATTTAAAAGATTAAAAAGTATATATAATCAATCATACTTTTTGTGTTCTTTGGTCCATAATGTCTTTGTGTACATACATCACACATCAGTTTATTGTTCTCGCTAAGTTTTTCATTACGGGTAAATTGATACAAACAGTGATGGATTGAGTCTTCTTCTGGGTTCAGGTCTTCCCTGCTAGCAAGAGTACAAAATGCCATTTCTGCATCTTCGGTCAATATTTCACATGTCTTGGCTGGAACAGTTTGAAGGTCATCTATGATGTTTACATCTGATTCAGCATTGGCACCCAAGCGTAGTTTTGAAAAGTCAGCAGCAAGCCCTTCTTCATCTTCATTTTCTTCATCTTCATCTTTCAAAGATAAGTCATCAAGGCCATTGACAAACTCTACAGGAGAATCTAAGTCTTCCATGGGGGGATCCGCTATAGACTCCTTTTCTACACATTCTTGCTCTGGCTTTGCTGTGCTTTCATGCATGCTTTGAACATCTGTACTATTTCCCTGTATATTTAAGTCATTTTGAGTTAAGTAGT